ACATATAACCACAGTTGCTCCAGCACAAATGTGGATGGGAACACCTTTCATATACCCGATGAGGATTGGTGTGTTTGAGGATTTAACCCTATGTGACACTCTCTATCATATAATGTCCAAGTTTGGGTCTAGGTAGGATGATGTTGTCCTGGATTAAGGCTGTTTACTCTCACCTCAGGTGAAGGTAAATGGTTCTCTTTCTTCCTCATTTTATATATATATATATATATACACAGTATACTCTTATACGACTCTTGACAGGGCTGCCCCTATCCCCTTTGGTATTTATTCTTACTTTAGAGCCTCACCTGAGAAGAATAAGGGCAAACTTGAGTATCTGTGGGCCTGATGTAGGCATGTTGTCCCCTCAAAAAGTAGTAGCCTTTGTGGATGACCTTTTGTTTTTTATTACTAACTCCACTGTTTCCCTCCCAAAGCTTTTAGAGGAATTTCATCTATATGGTGCTTTGTCCAATTTTTGGATAAATTACTCCAAATTAGAAGCCCTAAATATCTCCTTGCATCCAAGGCTCATATAGTCTATATATTCTAGTTTCTCCTTCAAATGTTCTAAATCTTCAATTAAATATCTGGGTACAGTTGTCCGTTGAGACCTGGCACAGGTTTTCTAGGCTAATTTTCCACTGTTGCTTCAAAAGATCAAACAAGACTTATCCCGTTGGCACAAGGGCTTCTTCTTTTGGTTCGGGTGGTTAATAGTTTGAAAATGAACATACTTTATACCTCCCACAGTGTCAGGATATCTTGTGCATCACAATCAAGAATGCCTACCCTATTCCTTTAATCACGGAATTATTTGTCCACCTCAAGGGAGCAACGGTCTTTACCAAACCCGATCTAAGGGGTGCGTATAATCTCGTGAGGATCCAGGAGGACCACAAGTGGAAGACAGCATTTAACACCAGGAGCGGGCATTATGAGTATCTAGTAGTTAATGATGTTCCCCGTGATATGTTACAACAATGTGTGGTAGTCTATTTAGACAATATTTTAATACACTCCTCCTCTCTTGAATCGCACCGCCAGGACGTTAGATGAGTTTTGCAACATTTACGTGAGAATAGGCTTTTCTGTAAGCTTGAGAAATCTGAATTTCACTAGTCCCAGGTTACCTTTTTGGGCTGTGTTACTGCCTCAGATGGGTTTTCTGAGTGGAGACATCTGCTTGAGGGTACCATGGTTCCTGTTCTTATTCTAATAGATCTTAACTTATCTCTCAGAACTTAACTTATCTCTCAGAGGCCAAGAGGCTCTTGCCACACCAAGCCAGATGGGCTCTGTTTCTTTCTCAGTTCAATTATGTGGCCTTGTACTTTCCCAGCTCGAAATAGTTGAAAGCTGATGCCCTGTCTTGTCAATATTCTGAGTTGTCCAAGGAAGACTCTGTGCCCACTCTGGTTATTCCTCCAGATTATATCCTGGCAACTATCCACACCAATCTAACCTCTCCCTTGGAAGAGCAGATTCAGGCCGTTCAGCCTATGGCACCTCTCAGAAAAACATGCGATAAGTGTCACCCTGGTAAGAATCAGATGACTTTGGGTATTTCTTGCCAATTCTGGTGGCCATCCCTCCGCAGTGATGTCGCTGCTTACATGGCTGCATGTTCCATTTGTGCCCAAAGCAAATGCCCTTGGCAGCTTCCTCTGGGCCTACTACAACCTATTCCCAATGGGGAATGTCCTTGGTCCCACCTAGCCTTGGACTTTATTGTTGACCTTCCTGTGTCTCGTGGTTATACCGTTATCCTTGTCTTTGTTGACCATTTTTCCAAATTGTGCCATTACATACCATTTAAGAAGTTGCCCATAGCTCAGGAGTTTGCCCTGGTGTTTGCCAGGGAGGACTTTCACTTACACAGTATATGAGATAGTCTTAGATTAGGATCGCCAGTTTGTCTCTAGATTCTGGTGGGCCTTTTGCACTTAAAAGAAGTTGGGAATTAAAAGAAGATAAGGAAATTTTTATCATTATTAAATTGATCACAGAGATATATCTTTTAAAAGAAGATAAGGACATTTTTATCATTATTAAATTGATCACAGAGATATTTATAAACCATTATTCATAGGTTGTTCACACAATCATAATTTGTTATTCACGATTAATCCTTGTCACTTATATTTATTTAGCGGTATACACTGTATAGGAATAACACTGTTATTTTTAGATCACATATGGTAGTCACTTATTGATATTGTGCATATACACATGTATTCACTTGCATTTACTTTAGATTGATTAGCGCTGTGCATTAATTTATATTAATTTTGTTAGACCGGAAGGATCTATATCGCAGCAGCTTTAAATTTATACACTTCACTAATTTAACTGGTAGTGTTGTAGATTCATTGGAAATAGTAGTGCTGCCCATTCAGTTAAAACAGATCCTAGGAATCTACCCGCTCCTCCCTACCAGGTCGAGTAGAATGAAATATGTAGCATCTTTGACTCTCCTCAGGGGTCAAGTCCAGTACCTAGTCCACTGGAAAGGCTACGGTCAGGAGGAGCATTCTTGGGTTCCTTCCTCTGTTGTTCATGCCCGCACCCTCCTTTGTGCCCTCCATGCTCGTTTTTCCCATAAGGCTTTTGTTCTCCCGTGGGGAGGGGTGGTTGAGGGGAGGGTACTGTCAGGGCTTCTTGTCTTTCCTCCTAGAGTCAGCTGTGCATGACTTGTTTCGCAGTATGTTTGACCCTGCTGCACCTCTTTGGTGCCCTCTTATGACCAAAACCGTAAACATCATCATTCTGCAACTACAAACAAAACTCCTGACAAATATATGTCTCAGAGTGATCATGCAAACGCCATCTCACTATTTAACCATCAGCTTGTCCTTTCAGTCTCCACCCTTGCGTTGGTTCTGATCTACCAGGTGCGCTGCTGTTATTTCTGATCTCCGTTTATGACCCTGGCTCTGGCTAGCTGATCTCCTGGTTCCCAACTCCAGCTTTGTTTCCGTTCATCCCGCTCTGTGTCCTCTGACCTGGTTTGGCTGACTATTTGCTTTAGCTTCTGACCTCTGGCTTGGAACTGATGATGTCCTAGATTTTCTCCATTCCGCGTTTTTTGCATTTATGTTTATTGTTGTTTTCAATAAACTCACTTGATTTTTTACACACAGTCTCTCTCTCAGCATGAATGGGATTGTCTAATGAACGAGATATTCAATTAAAACTATACTGGCATGTTTCTACTGATTGACTGGGACTGACGTGCACCCTTTTGTTTGTTCATTCTATCCAGCAGGCTCCCTTACTACAAGCATTTTGAATTTGCCTTTGATTAAGATCATGCTACATTCAGCTCTATATGCTTCAATTTTGTATTGATGGTTTGTCTACTTCAAACGTATCTTTTTCCAACAATTCAGCTCCGTATAGATAAAAGTTTTAAGAAAGGGATCAATATTTGGATACCGTGGTGTTGAATTTATTTCATATATACAACTTTTGTGAAGTACAAACTTTTTTTTTTTCATATTCCAATTTTCAGGTGTCATTATATTGATCACTACCACCTGAGGATTATTTTCAGCGATCCATATTTTGTTTGATCCAATGTGTGTGTTCTATATGCTGATTTTCATATGAATTAACCATTTCCTTCAGTTACTTGCATAGATATTGCATTGATCATCTATGTAGGATACACAGAGTAGCTTTTTAGATCATGTGAAATGTGATCCTGTTTTTTAAATATGCTTTGTTAATACATTTTGCTATTTTTATAGATATTAGTTTGTGTGTTATATTTTTCCCACGGAGTCTATCCCTTTGGAGGATATTTTTTCTTTTCATTAATATCATTGAAAATATAATTTCCAAGCAAAAACAAGTGCATGTGATCATTGATCAAACTTTCAAGTATCTTCCCAACTATTGAAGTTAAGCTTACAGCTCTGTAATTACTCGGTAACAACTTTGATCCCTTTTTAAATATAGGCACCACCTATACCGTATATACTCGAGTATAAGCCGTCCCGAATATAAGCCGAGGTACCTAATTTTACCAAAAAAAACTGGGAAAAAGTATTGACCCGAATATAAGCCGAGGGTGGGAAATGAGGCAGCTACTGGTAGATAGATACCAATAAAATTACATTAATATTTATTTAAAAGAAAAATAACCTAGCTCTGTAAGTGGAAAAGGGGGTACAGGGCTACATATCATGTACTACGGATCATTTAACCCATTCATATTAGCAGAGGATAATTGTAAATCTATTGTTCAGTGCACTCTATATGTAGTATATAGTACATGTACATATAGAGTGCCTGCAACAATACATTTACAATGATCCTCTGCTAACATGAATGGGTTAAATGATCCATAGTACAGGGCTACATACAGATCATTTAAT